ACCACCTGCGCCCAGAAGGCTGGTGGGATTACACCCAACGAGCCGTAAGGCATCCTGGTTCCGTGGTCTGTCGGCGCATGACAAGCCGTTTTTGTCGGTGGTCCCCTCGGGTTGAAAATCATTTATTTTTTTTTTTGCTCGGGGCGCCGTCGGGGCTGCAAGGTCTTGCTTTTTGGGTGCCTGCGTTCTTCGTTGTCGTCTTCGTTTCCGATGCCGCCGCCCCTCGCGGGAGGAGAACCCCTCCGTGATGGCGGACCAAGCCGTGGCCAACGTGAAGAAGGCCTTGTGGGGGCTGTGCTGCGAGCTCAAGGCTGGGCGGTCCGAGCATGCTCTCTCGTTCGCCGTCTCTTTCAGCGACGGTCAGAGGCCTCAGATTGTGTCGGTCACCGCGGCAGGTGACATCCCCAAGCACGGGCTGAAATTAGTGCCCATGGCCACGTCTGTGGGAACAGGGCCCAAGGTCCCAACATCCGCAGTGGAGGTCGAGGTGGCGGGTTTGGCCAGCGGCCAAAAGTGCTGGCTGGTTCCAAAGCCCCCATCCCCAAAGGCCCCGAGCCCCTTAAGGTGCCGTTCTGGGCCGTCCCCACAGGCAAAGCCCCGTCGACTGTGAATATGTGCGTCAAGTGGCAGCGCGTGCACGTGTCCGCTGGCGAAGGCCAGGCCACGTCGTTCGCGCGCATTCCTTACCTCACGAATCCCGCCCCTATCAAGAAGGGCGATAAGCTTTTCAAGCCCGTGCTTTCGCCTGCGGAGCCCGATCCGTCGGCGGCTTCAGGCTCCAGCTCGAAGGCCAAGCCGAAGGCTCCGTCGAAGGCTGCGCCTGTGCCCAAGAGGGCCAAGAGGAGCTGAGCTGCTGGGGCGTCCGTCCGAAGCAGCTTGACATAGTTGGAAGGGCAGTGGGGGGGCTGATGGGGGGAAGGGTAGTGGACGACAACGGGGAGGGTACTGGACCGTTGTGTATATGCAGCTCTGCACCGCCGTGGCTGTGCACCCCCTCGCCGCTGCTCGAGTGTCCGAGCGGCTACGGCGGGAGGCAGGTAAGTGATTGATTGGTAGGTTGCCCTTCGCACATATCGTGCGCTCCAGCGTCGGGCTGGCTTGCGTGTTTTTGCGTGTGAAGCGATGCTCGTGGAGCGGGGCTGGCCTCGACGCGGAACATGTGTGGGCTTTATAGGGGCATCTCTTGGAGCCCTTTGGGGAGCCCGTTGGAACTGCGTCAGTGCCTTCGCGAGCCATCGGAGAGGCGCACGGGGGCCCCGTGGCATCTCCAAGAGGGCCCGAAGACGACCCCAAGAGGCTTCCAAGACGGCCCAAGAAGCCCCCCAGGCGGCAAGTTCGAGCGACAACATTCGGTATCGCATAGAATGGGGGAAAACCATTGGCACGCAATGAAAGGATCGCATCTCCGTTTCGGGCCCCGTCTTTACAGAAACGCCTGCTGTTCGGGCCCTCTTGGAGCCGTCTTGGAGCTCTCTGGGGCGGTCCGTAGGCTTCTCTTGGGGCCATATTGCCCCCGCCCATGAAGCTCCGTAAACGGTGCAAGATAGAGGGGGTGCACGCATACGGTACAAGATAGAGGGTTGCACGTAAACGGTACAAGATAGAGGGTTGTACGTAATACCAGATAGAGGGTTGCACGTTAACGATACAATATAGAAAGTTGCACGTGAACGGTACAAGATAAACGGACATGTACACGCACACGGTGCATAATTGAGGGTTGCACGTAAACGGTACAAGATCGAGGGTAGAATCGACGCGACTGGAGGGTTGCACGTAGACGGTGCAAGATAGAGGGGTTGCACGTAAACGGTACACAATAGAGGGTTGCACGTAAACGGTACAAGATAAACGGTGCCAGATAGAGGGGAGTCGTCGGCGTCGTCGTCGACGTCGTCGGCCAACGCCATCTCGCAATCGGCCCCATATACCCCTCCTGAGGTCTAAACGCACAAGTTGTTCGAGCCGCGTCCAGCGGCTGCGACGATGGGGGCCCTCGAGGGCCAGAAGCATGCCCCGAAGCTTCGTGGGCTCGTGGAAGACAGCACTGCAAGCATGGGGTCGCCTGAAGACAAATGTCCCGGGGCCGCCTCAAATAAGTATCAGCAGAAACGACATCGCCGTCCGTGACCATTTCGGCTCTGGCTCAAACGAGGTCGCTCAGCTCCCCGCGCCCTGCCATCGACCTACGCGCGGGCCGCTCGCGTCGACATGTGCTCGATCGTGGAGGGGTTCGTCCAAGTGAGTCGGGCAACCAGCCCGAACAGTGGCAACAGCTGGTACCCGCTAGTCGTGCAGCACACCGACTTGCGCAAGTACGTCGTGGCCGACAAGCTAGATAACAAGCTCGTGCGCTTCACAGGCGGCAAGGTTGCCATGATCGACGAGCTGGTGCGGCTCAGGAACAAGCGTACCAACGAGATGATGGCCGTGGCGGACATGGGCGTCGACCCGCTGGGCGGGCCCTCCCAGTCCACCCCCGTTGTGTACCAGCTCAAACGCCCGCGCAAGGAGCTGATTGACGAGATCGACAGCTCGACGGTGATCACCGCTAAGTTGGAGGACGGCGCCTCGCGTGACGTTCGGGTTCGCACTGCGGCGGACCCCAGGGCGAAGTTGTGTCTCGAGCTCACGCCAGATTCGATGGACCTACTCTGCGAGACCCCCAGCGTGCCAGATGTCAGCGACGAGTTCATCCCGATCATTGACAGCGAGGTGGTGGAGTGGGTGCGGCACAGGCGGTCGTGCAGGGTGCAGTTCTTTGCGCAAGCCTCGCAGAAGTGGAAGATCAAGTCCATGAATGTGCCTAGTGCCGCAACTGAGGCGGCCTACCAGGAGAACGTGAACAGGGTGGTGGCGGTGTTGGAGGCGTTCTACCACGAGTGGCACTTCGACAACGACGCAGCCCAGGACGCCGACCCCCACTCGGAAGCTGACGCGGCAGGAGGCGCAGCGGGCGCTGCGGCAGTTGACGGCGGGGAGTAGGGCCGACGGCAATGGCTGTTTCTCTCGACCTTTCTGAGGGGATGGCGGTGCTCCCGCACGGGCGCGGCGAGCCCGTCGAGCCACATCTTTCGTCTGGATGTGCGCGCAGTTTGCTTCATGATCGAATTCACTGCGCACTGCCGCAGCGATGGGGTCGCCCGCGCTTGGGCTCGCTGGCGGGCAAGCACTCGTGAGGACAACTACGCGGCACGAGGTGCCAGACTGTCAGAAAACAGCCATCACCACCCCGACAGCCTGTTGAACGATGCGTCGGTGATGCGCGTGAGCCGCCGAAACCTTTATCGGCTGAGGCGCATCTGGCAGATGCATCGTCGGTGCGAAGTGCTACCTAGCACTTCGGACGCCATGTGCGAACTCCCACCTGGCACTTCGGACAACCGTCCGATGTCACGCCTGTGACTTTGGACAGCCAGGCTAATGAAAATGATATGACAGATCGGTGCGAAGTGGCAGGTGTCACTTCGAACGTCTGTCCGAAGTGCCAGGTGGCACTTCGCACAGGGCGTGCGAAGTGCCAGGTAGCACTTCGCACCAAGGTGGACCCCATCGCACGTCTCTCGATCTCCATCGCTATACTCCACTCTGCCTGGTCGCTGAGCGGTATGCAGGCGCGCCGCTGCAGGCGAAGTATACCGTCCGGCCATTTTTCTGTGAGGCGTCACCGCGAAAACTTGGGAACTCCGTGGTTCCCGTCTTGGCGCCCTCTTGGGCCTTTCTGTGGCCTTGAGCCGAGATTTCTTGAGCCAACCAGTGCAGCCGTTCAAGCGCTGACAGAAACCCCGAGAGCTACACTGCGCCACCGACGAACAGCATTGCAAATCCCACCAGCCCTCTGGGCGCAGGTGGTATAGCGCGTTTCCGTTTCCAACCTCCTCCCTTTCCCTGTTCGGGTGGTTTACCTCACCCCCCCTCCTTGCGTCTGGACGGGGGGGGGGGGGCGATGTGTCAGAGCGTCTTTCTCGGCCCAAGATCGCTACAGGAGGGCCCCAGAGACTCCAAGATTGCCTCCAAGATGGCCCAAGGTAGCGGTAGACGGGTCAAGATAGCCCCCGACACGCGTCCAAGAGGCCTCAAGACGGCCCCAAGACGGTTTCAAGTGCCCTCCGAGGCCTCCAAGGACCCCCCCCCAAGATGCCAAAATCATTCAAAAACCTAAGGGAACTCAGTGGTTGTTGCCTTCTCGCGCTGTCGCCTCCGAAGGGCTCTTGATGCCTCAAGGTGGCCCCAAGATGGCCCAAGACAATCCCAAGAGGGGCCCAAGAGAGCCCCAAGACGGCCCCAAGAGCGCCCAAGAGCGCTTCAAGAGCGGACCAAGAGGGCCCCAAGACTGCATGGTTGAGCCTCCGAGGGGGGGAGGGCAAGAATTAACGCAGCCCCTCTTGTTGATCAATGCTGCCAAAAACTGCCCCATGAGGCCTCCCAGACCACTCCCAAGAGCCCCAAGAAGGCCCCCCAGACCCCCCAAAAGAGCCCCAAGAGGGCCCAAAGACGCCCCAAAAGAGCACCACGAAGCCCCAAGACGCCCCAAGAGAGCTCCACGAAGCCCCAAGCAGGCCCTAAGAGGACCTCAGGAGAGCCCCAAGAAAGAGCCACAGGAGGCCCCAAGGGGGACCCAATAGAATCCCAAGCGGGCCCCCAGATGCCTCCAAGTTTCGGAACGCACGCGAATTTAAGATACAAATCAATGCAACAGCCATTACGAGTCATTGAAATACCCCATCACCTCTCATCGACGCACCATCGTAACTTGCACGGATTTCCATCTTAAACTTCAATGCGGGAAGCTATGTGCGATGCGTGTGTTCTCGAAGACGGCTGCGCGACTGCATGCGTTCTGCCGCCCCTGATTCACCAACTCCCCTGCTGATCGTTTCTGGATGGGATGGTGGGGATACGCGAAGCGTCAAGAATTAACGGCGTACCCCTTCCCTCCCCCACCAATCCCTGTAGCCATTTTGGCTCGTTTACTGCTGGGGTGCCCCGCGTCTTCGGCCATGCCCTGTGCACTGCGCGTAGATACGTTCGCAGCGGCTTCTCCGATGGCCTCGGAGTCTGACGTCGCGAACAGGCTGGTCGGGCTGATCGAGAGGCGCGTCAGGTTCATCGAGGCGCAGGCCACCGCTGGCATAGACCGCGAGAGCCTGTTGTCAGCTCAGTGCGGTGCGATAGTCAGCGAGATCATGCAGGAGCACGTCATGGATGAGGACGCGGCCACAGCAATCACCTCGGCCATCACTCGAGGCCCGTGGTCCGACGGGCAGAAGCTTCAATTAGCCAGCGCCTTGCAGGAAGCAGTGGCCAAACCTTTGAAGGGCAAGAAGTCTAAGCGCGACCAGCAGCACTGCATGTCGCTGGAGCGCTTCTTCACGGCTCCTGATTGGCACCTGCTCCGCAATCCCAACTTGGCAGAGGGGCCGAAAATCCATTGCATCGCGCACCGCATGTGGAGGCTGGGCATCACGTGCCCAGCGGAGCGCACCCAGAAGCGGGCCGCTGCAATCCTGCAGGTCGCGATGCATGCTGATGCTACTCCGTCTAAGCAGGAGGAGTGGCAGAAATAGATCCAGGGCGAGGTTAAGACGCTGGACGAGGTGCGGTCGTACCCCCACTCCCACATCAAGAGGTACGGCGCAGGACCCGACCATGCTGCCAGCGCAGGTCATGCAGTTCGCCTACGAGGGGACTGATGGCCCCGTGGAGTCCCAGGTGCTATAGCACAAGAAACCCCATCACATCCATGCCAATTCACAGTCCGTGTCCACCCATGCTGTATCCTCCTCATCGTTGACCCGTGTCGTAAACTTTGAACGCATTGCCAAACCCCTCTCTCCTGTCATTGCCCTTTCCTCGTTGGTTGTACCGTTGGCGTCCATTCCTCACGCCATCCTTCCTGTTCGAACCCACCCTGCCCAACAATCCCTCTCATCCTCTACCCTCCTCCAATCCCTCCACGCACCCTCGCTCATTGACCCCGCTCGCGCGCCAGGTTGATTTCGAGCACATGGAGCGGCTGGTGAGGCCGATGCCGTCGCGCAAGAGCCACACGGCATCGGGTCGAGCTGTTGATCATCAGTTGATGGCGGCGCGGCCCCAGCCCGCCGTTGGGCAAGTGCAGGACCCCCTGGGCGCCATCTGGATCGCCATGCTGCGAAACCCGTCGCTCATCATGGAGGTGCAGCAGATGATCAACGACCTCGTGGGCACGAACCTCCAGCGCGACGTGAGTGGCAACCCCTTGCTCGGCACCAGGCCCAGGGGCGTTCGTACTGGTGAATCGGCGAGCAGTGGTAGCCCTGTGATGGGGTCGCCGCTGTATGGCCAGGCGTCGGCGATGCCCGCTGCTGCTGCTGGCCCTGTTCCGCTGGCTGATGCCGCCGCCGCGCCTGATGGCGCCGCGGACGGCATGGGCGAGGCGGCAGCACTGGAGAAGGCGATGGCCGATGCAGCCGAGGCCGCTGGCCGTGGCAAGGCTGCTGGTGTCGGGCGCTGCCCCAAGCGCCCGATGAAGCGCGCGGGCAAGACAGCTGCGGCCGCCGCCGGGGCCGATGATGATGGCGAGGCGGAGGAGGGGGATGACGCGGGCGCGCGCGTGAGGCGCCGCCCCGCGGCCAGGGGCAAGGCTGAGGGCAGGGGCAAGGGCAAGGGCAAGGCCAAGGCTAAGCCCGCGCCCAAGGCCAAGGCGGCCGCGGCCAAGGGCGAAGGCGCACGGTGACATAACACGGGGACGAGGGGAGTGTGTAGGGTGAAGTGGGTGAGGAGGGTGAGGAGTAGGAGGATGAATGGGGGAAGGCAGGATGATGAGGGGACGGGGCTGGAGGGCGAGGAGGAGGGGGGAGGGTGCGGAGAAGGAGGAGGAGGATGGGGAGCGTGAGAGTGAGGAGGAGTTGTCACCTCCAAGTGTGCATGGGAACAATCGAGGAGGGTCAGGATGAGGATGCGGGGGGAGAGTGGTGATGAGGTGGAATGGTGGGTGAGATGGATAAGGAGCGATGGGGAGCGAATATATGCTGATGTGGGGGGGCTGGCGGCTGCAACGGGAGCCATGGTTTGGCGCAGGTGGGGGCGCGCAGGCCTCGTCGGGCCCATGGAAAAAGCTGGCTATATGGCCGCACGCGGCTGGCCATGTTTATGGGGAGCAGTTCGGGGTTACCAGGGGATGCAGCGTTGTGTCGATGGTGTCCTGGCCCCCTCGCCCCTCCCACCCATTCCCAGGGCCCCCCTGTGAGAGCTGGGGTCCCAACCACCCCTCGAGGCCGCAAGCGATGCATCGAGGCCCCGTACCCAAAACATCACCCAAAGCACCCAAGTGCGCAGCCGTCACCCCTTCTCCCTATCCCATCCCCCGCGCCGCCGCCGCCCCAGGCAAGTGGGAGCATCGTGGCGCGTGGGGGGGGGGGCTGAGCTTCGCGAGGTTCATCGCAGCCGACCAGATGTGGGAGGGCCGCTCCAAGAATGCTTTTGCTAGTAGCGCTTACACCAAGGCTAAGTCTCTTGCCAGAGCGCACGGCCTCAGCGACGCGCAGTGCGTTGAGTTCGGGAGGTTCGTTTACCAGCGAGCCTCGTCAGTGTTTCGTGGCTAGATCTCTCGGTGGCCCTTCTGGGCCTTGCAGTGTTCTGAAGCCCCCAGAGCGCCCTCAATGGAAAGACATGCGGGTTTGAGTTTGCACTGTCGGCGCCAGCGATTCGGGATGATTGCGCAAGCATCGCATATAGCACCACGGCGACTGGAGGCCGCTCTGCCCTCTTCAATCCTCGTTGCCACCGTCGTGCAATGCCCGCCCCATCCTCTCTATGTCACTCTGTCTCTCTTTCCCATCCCTCGCTCCCTCCTCACGTCTTCCCTTCCTGCCCCTCTATCTCTCCCTCGCTCTCTCGCTCGCTCTCTCGCTCGCTTGCTTGCTCGCTCTCCCTTTCTCTCTCTCACTACCTGGGGGCATGCACTTGATACATGTCTTGCCGATGTGCCACTCTAACGGGCAAACCGTATCAACCTGGGCGCGAGCGGACGAGCACCCTAAACCCTGGCGCATACCGTAGGCTGCAGAAGCAAGCGCCTCGCTCGAGACGTCCTCACAATCGAATGTTAAAGCAAAGGGTCGTGGGCAACCATGCGCACAACTCGCTTGGGACATCGTCACAACTTGAGATGCAATGCCGTCAGGGATGCTGGGACCAACGAGTTGCTGGAGACATCTTCACAATCTGTCCTGACAGCAGACGCAACCAAACAAGCCATGTGCATGAGGCGAACCAACAATCTGGGCTCGTACGGGACCCGTGGAACACCCCGTGGCGCAACCCCCTGTTTGATGTTGAAAGCAGGGCCTCGATCGAGACATCCTTGACGATTGGGCGAGGGACGACCCTGAGCTGAGTGTGAGCGGTCTGTGTGATTGAATATGGGTGTGCATATCCAGATTCACTCACACAGACCGCTCACACTCGCGGGTACCTCCGAGGTCGTCGAGTCCGTAACCGTTTGTGTTCGAGTCATGTTTGATCCGCCTCGCAAGAAGTTGAGGCTGGCAGGATACGGTCGTCATTCCCACGTGACTGCGTCGGCACTGAACAAGCTCCTGACGCAAGTCAGGGACCATGGCTTGCCCGACTATTTCTCTTGTAGTAGCCAGAGGAGAGACAAGCAAGATATCGCTTTCGAATCGACGAGTTTCGGGCCGTTGCTGCAGCCCGTGACTGCTGCAGGTGTCAACGGCAAACCCGTGACGTTCTGGATGCAACATCCGCTGGGGATGCTCGAGGCAGCGTGTAGAGCCAGCCTGGAGTTCAGGACGCTTCTAAGAGATACGCTTGATAGAGATGGGAATCAGCTTGGTATCATATTTTACTCGGACGAGATCGTCCCAGGAAATGCGCTGGGGGCGCACAATTTCCGAAAGCTTCTCGCGATGTATTGGGGCATAGAAGGCTTCAGGTTCCCCATTCTGTCAAACGAAGAATCCTGGTTCACAATAACTGGCATGCGGTCTTCGCTGGTCGACCGTCTCCCTGGCGGCGCATCCGAAGCCATGAAGTTGGTGCTGCATTCTTTTTTTCGGTCGGCCCGACAGTAGTGGCAACGACCTCCGACGCGGGGTGGCATTGAGCATAGCTGGTGAGGGTGAGCCCCGCCTTGTGTTCGGGTCATTGAAGATTTTGCTACAGGACGAACGTGCTCACAAATTTGGGCTGCATCTAAAAGGCGCTGGAGCGCACAAACTGTGCTGCCTCTGCAAGAACGCTTGCTCGTTCAAGTCGTCGTGGCTTCCCGATTCCACTGGCATCCTCGTGCCGAGTACGAACATCGACCTTCGCGATTTCCAGCCCCATACGAAGCAGTCCATCCGAGGCATTCAGCGTCGGTTGGCAGAGATTGCCGCCACCTGCACCAACGCCGAGCTAGAGGTAAAGCAGACGGAGTTCGGCTTTAACTTCTATCCCACTTCACTCTTGCAAGATGAGTGGCTCGACGTGGACATGATGCAGGTCTTCGGTTGGGATTGTATGCACATTTACTTTATCACGGGGCTCTTCACAGTGGAGGCTGAAAAATGTTTGGAAGCCTTGGCGTGCAACGGTCTTCCGACTGAGGCGTTCAGAGTGTACCTGAATAAATTTCGGTGGCCAGGTGGGTATTCGCATGGCAAGGACATTGTGCATGGTAAGAACAACTCGTTTGGTGGCAACGCTTCCGAACAACTCTCGTGCGCTCCCGTGTTCGAGGTGTTTCTGCGCGGGGTTGCTGTGCCCAAAGGACTGTGCCCAGGCGAGGTTGAGTCTGCCTTGCAGCTGTGCCACGTGGTTCGCCTTTTGAGTGTGGTCAACACTGGGGTGGCGGCTGCGTCCACTCTCGGCCAAGCGATCGCGCGCCATTTGCAGCTTCATTTAAATTGCTATGGCGAGGAGCTGTGGAGGCCAAAGCATCACTATGCTTTGCATTTGGCTCCACAGATGATCAAGCATCATTGTTTACAGAGCATTTTTTTGCAAGAGCGCAAGCATAGAACTTTAAAGATGTTTGCGGACGACAGACACAACGCGAAGGCATTCGAGAGAGGACTTCTCGAAAACGTAACTGTTAGACATCTGTTCGAGTAGCGCAGTTCGCTTGTGAAAGACCAGCTCGTAGGTGCCACCCCTGCTAGCAAGAAGATCAAGGATGCCATTTTGGCATGCGGCCTGATTGGTTTCCCCACCCAAGGTGCAGAAACTGCTAAGGCTGCGAGGTGCAACAACAGAGTAGTTTGTGTGAATGACGTGGTTGCGTACTCTGACAGTCAGGGTCGCACTGCGTTTGGCCAGGTTTACTTTCACGCGCGTAGCGCTGGAAGCACAGTGACATGCATATCGAGGTGGCCTGTTCGGGCGAGGCAGGTGGACCTCGTGCAGTGTGTTGTTTGCAACGACCCGATCCTTGTAGATACGGTGTGCGTGGTCGAGCCTTCTATCTACTGGCCCGTCCCCGACGGGCAGATCTCTCGAGTTTTGCTCCCAGCGCGTCTGAGGCGCACCGAGACGGGTGCCTGATGCGCGCAGTGTGGGGGGGAGGACTAACTGGCAATCCAGGGATGGGGTCGACTTTTTCAGTGTTTCACAACATGCTTTAGGGGATATTGCATGCGTCGCGCTGCTTGTGGAAAAGCACGTGATTCCTTTGGGCCCCTGTCACATGCATGTAACATAGTGCGTGGTGTACACAGGCAGCACGGTCATATTATTTAGTGTTATCGCAGTTTTCAGCTCAATGGGCTGCTATATTTTAGGTTGAGAACAACACGAAACTGACAGTATTTACAATTACGCTTTGAAAAAAAAAACAATGCCGCCTTGAAAAAAACAAGTACATCACTTGAAAAAAAGCCATCGCTGCGTTAAAAATCAAATACAACATACAATAAATAAACACATACACATGAAAAAAAACGATACCAACATAAGTTTTTTTCAGCTTTGGTAACCTCCAGATCCTAGTTAACATGGTGCTTCCACGACCTACTTACAAGTAGGATCCCGCGCAAGATAGCTATCTCAACGATCCTGGGGACAAGTAGATACAACCACCCCAAACACTTAGCAACCACCCAGACGATCCAAGCAGGGGGTCCGAGACCGCGGGGTTCGGAGACGGGGGGGGGCCGGGACCGAAGGGGAAGTCCGGGACCGGGGTCCAGGACCGAGGGGCCCGGGACCGGGGGGTCCGGGACCGGGGGGGGTCTGGGACCGGGTGGTCTGAGACCAGGGGGGTTCGTGACCGGGTCCGGGACCGGGGGGGTCAGGGACCGGGGGGTCCGGGACTGGGGGGGGTCCGGGACCGGGGGGGGGGGGTGTTTTCGGTCCGGACCGGGGTAGTTTCCGGACCGGGTGGGACCGGGACCGGGGGAGGTCCGGGACCGGGGGTTTCCGGGACCCGGGGGGGTTCGGGACCGGGAAGGGTCCGGGACTGGGGGAACCGGGGGTCTGGACCGGGGGGTCTGGGACCGGGGGGGTCGGTACCTACCTGGGGGGTCCGGGACCGGGGGTGTGTTCGGAACCGGGGGGGGTCCGGAACAGGGGGGGGTCAAACCCGGGGTCCGGGCTGGGGGCGTCCGGGAC